CATGAGGTCTGCCCACAAAAAGTCTAACCATGGTTAATATAACAAGAACATCAGTGCAACCTGGCAGCCAAGGAGAGTGGACTGGAATGCATATGTGTGAACAATGAAAACTTCACTTTATTAGTCAGTGGGGACACCATTAACTGAGCACATGTACTGTGTGACCATTGCATTCGAAATGTCTGAGCAAGCAGAGCTATGAACCTGCATCAGATTTTGTTTTAAGCTTGTGCAGTCCTCCTCAGAAACTATTCAGATGATGCAGAAGGCCACAGCTATGGGCAACTGGTGATTGGCAGCTTCATCATGACAATGTGCTTACTTATGCATCATATCTTATGCAGAGGTTTTTAGCAAAACATCAAATCACCCATGTGACTCAGCCCCCCAACAGCCCAGATTTGGCACCCCGCAACTCCTGGCTTTTCCCAAAACTAAAATCCCCTTTGAAAGGGAAGAGATTTCAGACCTTCAGTGAGATTCAAGAAAATGTGATGGAGTAGCTGATGGCAACTGGGAGAACTATGTGAGGTTCCAAGGTGCCTACTTTGAAGGGAACTGAGGCATCATTGTCCTATGTACAATGTTTCTTGTATCTTGTGTCTTCTTCAATAAATGTCTCTGTCTTCCACAGTAAGTGACTGGATATTTTCTGGGCAGACCTTGTATTTCACAGAGGTTTAAGTGGAATCAAATAGTGAAGTTCATAGTTTCAAAGCAGCTTTATTTATTTATTTAAAAATTTTTTTTTCAATTACAATTGACATTTGATATTATATTAGTTGCAGGTATACAGCACATTGCTTAGATATTTATATAACTTACAAAGCAATCCACCTAAAATAAATTGTTTTTAAAAGGAAACAAGTCTAAGAACAGTATTTATAGTGTGATTATAATTAAACAAAAAATGTGTTTGTCTGTATATACAAGCATTTGTGTGGGTGTGGGTTCAAGCATAGGTCTGTGTTTCCCAGATTTAAGAAATCAGTTCTGTGCCATACCCACACAGAACTCAGTTATCCCAGACTTGAACAACTGCCTAGAACCAAGTCAACTTTGCCATATTCATCCAGAACTACCTTGATGAACAGCTATGAAATTTTTTTCAAGTGCAAGTCTCATAGGGAAAACAAATTCATTCTCTTATCAACAATGAGGTTCTCGTAGGGAAATATTTCCTCTCTCTGCAAGAGCAGGCATGTGAAGGCATTCTCTGGCAGGTCTTCCCATGGTCGGCAAGGCCCTCAGTGCTCTCTTTCTCCCCTGCCACTGCCCTCTCCCTCCTGTGCTCTCAAAGCCTGAACCTTCACACTTATTTTCCCCTTAATCTGGAACACTCTACCACAGACTTTGGTGTAATTGGTTTCTTCACATCATTCAGTCTTCAGCCCAAATGTTACCTCCCAAGCAAGGTCTCCCCTGACCATCTAACCAAAAGTAGCTTACTCCAGCCTCCAACACAACACTCTGTTTATTTTTCCATAGCACTGACTATCTCAAATTATATTAATTATGTATCATGTGTTTATTTCTAATTTCTTCCCCTTAAAGTGTAAGCTCTATGAAAGCAGGAACCTTGCCTGTATTGTCATCCTCCTTCCTTACAACAAAGCCTAACCACTTACCGAACGTTTATGGAATGAAAAGATAGACTACTGGAATGTTACCCAGAGCTAAAAAGAAATGAGCTCTCATGGCATGAGAAGACATGGAGAAAAGTAAATGCATACTGTTAAGTGAAAGAAGTCCATTTGAAAAGGCTACACTCTTTACGATTCTTAATATATGACATTTTAGAAAAAACCAAACTATGGAGACAGTAAAAAGATCAGTGGTTGTGAGGGATTAAAAGGGAGCTAGGGATGAATAAATGGAACACAGAGTGTTGGGAAACATCCCATCTGGTTTCAGGGACTGTAGCCCCACCAACAGGCAAGAGGGCCCAAAGGCAGAACTAAGCAAGAAGGCCTTGGGAAAATAGGCCACTGAGGAGACAAAATATGTCCCCCAGACAGAGGCACAGCCCCTGCCTCCCTCACATCCCTCTGATTGGCTCTGAAGGATGGCTGGTTAGTGAATGATGGGTAAGACCCCTTGATGGCAGGGGCAACCTAAGACAGGCACAGCCATATGGGCATCAGAGAAGAACTTGGGGGACACAGAGGAAGGGCAAAAAGACCCCCCTCAGCTTTGATGTGGCAGGGGTCCTCATTCTATCTGAAAGAAGTCTCTCCTTATCTCTTGGCAGCTGACTGATCCCCTGCCTGGCTCAGGTTTGAAACAATACTGGAGACAGCCCTAAACTGGATCTGGTGGTTCCTGGGGGAAATCAGGCCTAGAAGTAAATTCTTTGAAACATGCTTTGTTTTTTCCTCAAAAGCTATGATAACCAGCTCATGCTGGGAAGAAAACTTACATTATTCACAGACCCTGACCCTAAACCCTTTGGCGCTTTCATGTTTACTCATCTCCTCTTGCACCCATGTAAATCGATGTGTTCCTGACATTTGTCTTCATCAAAACATCTATCCTCTGTAAACATTAACATACTGATGTAATGAGATCACCTGTACATTCCTACTACCTAGCCCCACTGATAACCCTTTCAATAAAAGCCTTTGGAAACAGAGACTGGGGGCCTTCTCCACCAGAGGGAAGTGCCACCTCTTTCCCTAGCAGACAGAGAAGTGTCTAGAATGACTTATTTTATTTACTCCATCTGTGACGACCCCGGGATGGGCTCTCCAGGATCAGAGTCTGGCTCCCTCCTCAACAGAGGATGCTTAGGGCAACTCTATATGATATTATAATAGTGGATACATGTTCTAACACATTTGTTCAAACCCATAAAAGGTGTAACACCCAGAGTGAACCCTAATGTAAACTATTAACTCTGGGTGATAATGATGTGTCAACATAGATTCACCAATTGTTATAAATGCACTGATCTTGTGGGAGATGTTCATAACAAGGGAGGTTATACATGAGTGGGGTCAGGTGTATGGGAAACCTGTGTGCCTTCTGCTCAATTTTGCTGTGAACCTAAAACTTCTCTAAAAATAAAGTCTATTATATATATACACAAACCCACCTACTGCCCAAGTTGTAGAAAAGGTTTAAGCATTTAAGTGGAACATGAAGAAAGATTATTTGACATTAGGGTTGTCCTGGGAAAGCTAGAGCTCAGAAAGGTCTAAACCCAAAGTTCAGGGAGTATTTTCCAACTTGGAGCTCCATATTCTGTATTCACATAAGTGAAACATTCATTTTTATTGAGGGACTGAGTACTCATTCAGCTCATATATGTGTACTGTGAATATCTAGGGTGAACAGCAAATGCAGCTATTTCTTAACATTTGATCCAAAACCCATTCTTCATGCCATGTCTTTATTATTAATGGGTCTAAGCCCAGCTGAATGCCAGTGTTATCCTATAGAGAAGCTTTAAATAGTCAGTTTTTCTCCTCAGAACTAACCCAACATAATTTAATTATTTATTTTGTTTGGCTGATTCTAAACCACTAGAATCTAAGTTTCATAAAAACAGTATATTTTGCCTGTTTTATTCACGATCATGTTTCCAGTGTCCAGAGCAGTTCCTGATACATAGTGGGGACTCAATAAATATTTGTTGAAAGAATGAATAGGTGAGCAAATGAATAAGCAATTTTTATTCTGTCCACAAATCCCAGTGAAGAGATCAGAATTTTGGTACAAGGTGCAGTAGCCCCCTTATCCATGTCCTCTGCCTGTGGTTTCAGTTACCCACAGTCAATTTTGATTTAGAAATATTAAATGAAAAACTCTAGAAATAAACAATAAGTTTTAAATTGTGTGAGCTGCATGAGGAAATCTCACCTGAGCTGTGAGTCATCCTTTTGTCTAGCATATCCACATTATAGGTGCAGTATAAGATATTGTAAGAGAGAGGCCACATTGACATAACAGTTATCACAGTATACTGTTATAATTGTTCCATTTTATTATTGTCGTTAATTTCTTACGGTGCCTAATTTATAAATTCAACTTCATCACATGTTTACATAGGAAAAAACATAGTATGTATAGGGTTCAGTATACATAAGCATCCATTATGGGATCTTGGAACGTATCCTCCATGGATAAGGGGGTACTACTGTAATTATATCAAATTCTGAGCTATCTGGTTCATACTTCTGGGCTATTTTTGTAGTATTTGTGCTTGCTGCTGGTTTTCCCAATATATTTTTTCTGGATGGAGAAGTTGGAGGAATTAAGAAAATTAAGTGAAGGAGTGAAGGCTTTGGTTTCTGACCCACTCTACTGGTGATAATAATGACTAACAATTATATTGCAATATTCTTCCAAAAGTTATTACAGTCAGTTCTCAATATATCATTGTGAGGCAGGTGTTACTACCTTCATTTTCAGGTAAATAGGCAGGCTTAGCAAGACTCCCAGTGTCACTTAGGTAGTATCAGATTAGTCTTGATAAAAACCTTGGTTTGCCATGTCCAAGTCCTTGTTTATTCCATTGCACCAGCTGCCTCCCTAGCTGGTTGTATGTGTTGGAAAGCCCCCTTCCCTTACTGAGCCTCAGTTCCCTCATCTGAAAAATGTCCAGATGATCTCTTAGTTTCTTTCTAAATCTAAATTCTGTGACTCTGAGATTTTATTTCTACGTGTAATTGCACAGCTCTTTTAAAATCTGATTCAGATGTTCAAAGTCAAATTGTTAAAATTTTCCCTCTATTTTCAAGTAATGCCTGGAAACAGAACACTTTGGAAAAGAACTGGTTTTGTTAAGCAGAGTACCCTCGAAGTGTCTCCATTATACTTTTTTAAATGCAGTGAGAGGATTTTTCTCTCAGCTTATTTGAAAACTAACAATACAGTAGAAAATACAGCAACTTTTCCAGAAATGAAATCATTCAGAGTGAAATAAAAATAAATATGAAATATTTTACCACCAAGTAGTTAAATAAATAAAGCTTTCCAAAAAGAAAAGGCAAAACCTGGTCTTCAGTTTATTATTTACCTGGAAAATCCCTTTGTATGCATTATATGTATTATTCACATAAAAATGCCTCTAGGCCACACAGCCAACAGAGCAAGTGCGCTGTATGTGTTTCTTCTCCACAGGGCATTTTGTTTTCTCTTGAACTTTATTGATGGCCATATAGAGAAAACCTACTTTTGGTGTCACATGAAAAAACTACACAGAAAACTGTATTTGCACAGTCTTTTTTGGGTTTTATTTTGCTAAAAAGTAAAATCCACATGGGCAAAAAAAAGAAAAACATGCGAAATACTTTTGCACACCTCTAACACACTATATTCCACTTCTAAAATCGTAAAATTTTTAAAAAATCCCAAAGCAAAAGTACATGGGTTGAAAAGTTAACATTATAAAAGCTAGATTCCTAACACAAACACTGCAAATACAAGTCACTCAGGTGCAAAAAGTTAATGTTTATAAAGGTTAAATAAATGTCAGCAATAAGGAGACAAGATCCGTAGATCCAAAGTGTACTCCCCACCATGAACTATTAAAAACTGTTTGGTGTTGCAGGCCATCCATGATGTTAGCTTGAACTAGAAATGGCCTTAATCCTGATGCCATGCCAAACTTAAAAACACGGAGAGAACCATATTTAGAACTACCTCCTTTCCCCGCTACCTTTAAAACAATTTTTTGTTTGCTTGGTGTTTTGGTAAATAATAGAGTCCTTCAGAATCTACACTAACTCTGACTAGCTCTAGTTCTAATCCAATAAATGACTATGATGAAGTTCTACTTTGAGATATTTCACTTTTCTTTTTAATGATCACATACTTTTTAATGATTTTGTGTGTGTGTGTGTGTGTGTGTGTGTGTGTAAAGACCCTTTTTAAAAGATATTTTTGGAAACTTAACTCTAGGGAACTTTTCACCTTTCCTTATGACCAGTCCCTGATCATTTAATAGTTTTGGTTCTTTTCTTTTTAAAGAGAAAACCTGCTTAGAGCCTTTCTGTACAGTCAGCAACCTCCTTGTCCCTGCATTTTTTAACTTTCCAAAAATAGCAGAATGCTCCAAGGTACTTGTGTGCAACTCCTGAAAAATCTCCAGGCACTTCACACAGATTTTACCCCGCCTGGTGCTTTATATTCACTTTCTCACAGCACCAAGTTAAATAAGGGCCTGTGGCAGGAGCACATTTTGATCTGGTGGCTTTACCCTTGGAAAGAAACAGTCTTTTTGCTAGGGACACATCTAGCTGCTTCCTTCTCCCTTGGGGAAAAGGGACCTATGCAGGTAGAAAGGGACCTATGGCAGTCCTCTGGAAGCTCAGTTCTCAGACGAAAAAGTGTTCTAATGCATTCTCATAAAAGATTTCAAGCGTGCAAAGAGAAAATCCAAAACAGGAGTGAGAAGAGAGTAGCAGTAAGTTGGGAGAGTGCCTAACTATTGTGCTCAAGTGAGAAACATCCACTCAAACTGCTTACTTCAATGCCATGTTCAATGAGCATAATAACAGTGTTTCCTGAAAGGGAAAGAGACTATATATCATTTCCAACCTCAGAAACTAAAGCTTCTCTTTTTATCCCCGAACATCTTCAAAATGCTTACGTAACACATACTCACACTAATATTTTAAAAAAGTGAGAAGACCCAAGTCTATTACAGTAAATACTTAAATAATTGCTAGATCAACCCAGTTGATATATTTTCAAAATATTGGTCAAAATAGCAAATGAGTATATATCAGTCCATCTTTTCCTTCCAGCAGTCAACACAATGAATGATACATAACCAGTGTGCTATATTTAAAGGAACATATGAGAAGGATGGGGCTGATCTAAAGTGGGAGGTCCCGCCAATTCATGCATTTTGACTGAGGTTGGCAGAATTTAAGTTTCCTCTTCCCCACCCAGAGTTTGGGTATGTTCTCAGCCTATGCTGCCATCCTGTGTCAGACACTGTCTCTTCTTTTTCACAGGTCACTAAGCCTGTTGGTGAAGCAGTGCTGAGGAAGACTTCATAAGTGAGCATAGGACTGGGAGCAAAATATATGACTGGACATTCATGCTAACGAACCTCATAAAGCAAAACAAAGACCAAACAGAAGCCAGAGTCATTTCATAATCATTTCTCACACACAGCAAAGCAAAACTGGAAAAATCCAATTTCACTTTCCTGTAGCAATTCAAAAAGGAGGTAAGCCTTCTGGGACATTGGATATTTCGGTCTGAAAGAGGGCAGCTGTCAGCAGCATGAGCCAGAGCCCTCCCGGAAGCCAAGTCAATTGCCCATTGGCTCCCAGAAGACATCATTCTGCATGTCTGGGCTCCCTTTAGAATGTTCAACTCTGTTCAAGGACTGAAGTCTTGATGCTCGGAGGTAGCTCCCTGACACTAGTAATGGAATAATACTTCTTTTTTTGGTGAGGAAAGCCCCATTGATCTGAGCTAACAATCTCTCAACTCTGGCGCTAAAAATACCCTGCAGCACAGACTGTTTGGCACTTTATTTCACTTGTCAGAAGGGCTCTAGAGAATTCCACAGAATGCTTCAGATTCTCCCTGACTGCCCTGAGCTCGGTCCCTGCTCTGCTGACTTCGGGAAGTATATCACTTTGGGAAAGTTACTTTTTGTTTTTCACTTTTGAGTTCTTGGAATTCTGTCCTAAATGTCTGAAAGTACAATTCCAGTCTTGGATTAATTACTAACTTGGTTTAGGAATCTTCATTTGGCTTCTAGTCTGAACTATGCAAATACACAATCTGTGTATAGAAGAAAGGACTAAAATTATACTTCAAAAGAGCTCAGTTGCTTCCTGTCTTCCCTCTTTCCTCCAAAAAGAAACATCAGCCTTCTTGAATCCTTTGTTGCCAGAGGCAGGAGCAGCTCCTGCCTGTCCACATCAGGTGCCCCAGGCTCCCTACACATTGATGGCATGCGCGTGCTTCTTGCACAGGGGTTTGTCCTTCTTGGAGTAGAATGGCTGCCCCTCCAGATTCACATGGCATACCTGGGACAGAAAACAGACTGCTATGAGAAAGGGCCTTGCAGGCCATGAGGCAGGGGAACTTGAGCCAAAGATTTCAGTCACCTCTTTAAGAAAAAGCACTGTCACATGCAGATGGGAGGAAAGGCAACAGCTATCTCTCCCCACTATAAATCCTTAACAACTAAGATAGATCAGATGCATTAAATTATATAAAGTTTAAGCTTTCCAAAGAGGGACATGGAAGAAAACTCAAATTAAGTCAAATTAATTAAATTTAATGGAATAGAGAAAATATACACAATGACGACCAACTGATGCTATTCAAAAATTAACAAGGAATTAATACAAGTTCATAAGTCAATATCCACAGAGATGATCAACATCTAAAGAAAAACCATTAGTAAACTAACACATCAAAAAAATTATCCTTATTCATAATTAAAGGAAAAATAAAACCTTCATAAATACCACTAGAGACCTATTAACTTAGTAAAATTTTTAAAAAACCAAAAACAAAAAAGGCTCCAATAGCTTGTCACCTATAACTTTATATAACTATAGCTAAAAAGTGAAAAAAAAAAAAAGTAATCAAAAGTCAGCAATGCCAAAAGGGAATCAGGCCCACCTGTGCCTAGGGACACATGAATTATCTCAGTCCCCTATGGGGGGATATGGCAACAGTAAGAGGAGCCATAAAGATGTGCCTGCCCTGTACCCCAGTAATCCTACTCTGGAGAATTCTATCTTGCAGAAACTACTGCGCAGACAAGAAAGCAATGTGTGCTCAACTAAAAACAAGCCACTAAAATTTCTTTCAATAGGGATGACTAAATAAATGTTTATGGTACATTTTTCCAATGGAATGCCACCATGAAAAAGATAAACTGAATGTAGAAAATGAATGCAGGGAAAATATTACATAAAAAAAGAGGCAAAATGATATAATCCCATGGTAGCAACATACGGAGACATCACTGAAAGAAGGGAGCTAAGTAATACTCGTTGAGGTACTGTGGGTCAAGCAGCATGTCAGGTACTCTGTGTGCATGATCTCATTTGATCCTCACAGAAACCTCATGGGATAGGCATATTTTCTCCTTTTTCACAACTGAAAAAAGGAGGCTCAGGGAGCCCAAGTGTCTTGTTTAAGTCACAGACCCAGTAAGCTGTAAAGCTGGGAACCCATGTCCAGGTCTGCAGGACTCAATTCTAAGCTCATTTTCCCCACAGCCCACAGCAGAGAGGGGCTGTGTTTATTTGAAGTTGTTCTTGGTTTACAAACTTGTGTAGAAGCAGCCCTCCAAGTTTTTTAGCCTACCAATATGTAGGTATGGCCCTGGGAAGGCAATAATGCCAATGTGTCAGAGTCAACGGGGAAGTCACATTAGCTGGGGTTAGCGCCAGCCTCAGAGAAGGCAATGAGGATCTCTAACGGGGAGTCGAATTGAGGGCTACATCCAGGACACCAACATTGGCTAAAGAAGTGCAGGTGGAGTTCCCATGTATGGAGAGGCATGAGGATAGAGAAATCACCCTATTGAGATGAGCTTGAGTCAGTGAGCATGTCTCTACCCCAAGAGAACTGGAAAGAAAAGTGGCATCACGGTGGCCCCAAGTGTAAGGCTCTGATGGCCAGTTGAGGATGTTATACTTGGGATCACACAGAGATGCCAATGGACTCTGGAAGATCATGACATGAAAGTGTCTGAAAACATCCCAGGTGGATACAATCATGTTGAGTGTAACCAGGCTCTTGTGGTGGCCTCCAGCTGCTGATGACAACTTGGAGCCAAATATGAGAAGGTAGCACTCAAGAGTCAACTGAAGGTAGATTTCATGGGAGATAAAAAAGGCAGCTCTGGAGTGAGTTGGCAAGAAGTGGTCTGCAACACTGCTGGTTGCTTGGGAGAACTCTGAGTTGAGTCAGGCTAGGGAGCATTTTGGGGGCCCGAAAACCAAGGAGTCAGGAATGGCCAGAGCCTCAGAGGTGGCTCACTAATAAGATGGAGCTAAGGGCAGGAACTCTCATGGAGAGGTTGTGCTCAGTGTTTTGGGCCAGGAGACGGCAGGGAGGATGCAAGCTGGCTTCATGGTGGAGGAGGCCTCAGCACAAGGACACAGCAGGGATGACCCACTTTCCAAGCTCCAAGGTCTAGTAGCATCAGGGCCTGGCTGCGAAGGAGTAGAGGCCATGGACAGTGCTGACCAGAGAGTGGAAGGCAATGAAACAGGTCAGGTGCAGCAGCTCTTAGGACTGCCCACAGAAGTTGCACCGCCACCAGTCCCCTCCTGATACCCACACTGCTGTGGAAGGGCTAGAAACCAACTAAACTTGGAGGAAACAAGGGGCCAGTAAGACAGCTTTCTCTCAGTAATGTAAGACCCAAATTCTTTCCCTGGAACTCAAGTGCCTAAGGCAGACAGGAGCTGACCCACACTGCCCTTTCTAAGCCTTCATTTTATGTGCTTGAGACTTTAAGACGCTGTCTTGTTCTGTTTCTTATTTGCTTGTACATGTTAGCTTTGTTTTCCTTTCACGATTCTAAATTCCTTGAAGGTGGAGTTCTGGACTGCTCTTATACCCTGAAAACTTGGTAATTTGAATTAGCCTAAAGGAGGTGCTCTCCTAAGATATGAATGATGGAAAAATCGGCACTTCAACTGGAAGAGCTAGTCCTTATCTTCCTTTCTTACTAGTTTTTTTAAGTTATAGAAAAATATACACTAATAAAAATGACTTGGAAATATAAAGTGATAGAAAGAGGACCCAAAAAAGCCCTCAAAGTTTTCAAAAAATTAAAACTGTGTTTCACTTTGATATATCTTAATGGGACAGTGAGCATCACACAGGGCTAGACTGGGGGAAGACGTAATTGTTCTCCATTATTGATTCTCCAAAGGATGAAACCTGGATCTGCCTGGTTTCTTTGGGTGGATCCTTTGGGCAGCGCTATGGGTCTCTCACACCGGACTAGAATTTATTTGTAATCTCAGCCTAAACAGCCCTAAGCTTTACTGCTTCTTCTGGTCTCACTCTGAGGCCTGTGCTATTGTGACTCAGCCAAACACAGCGGGCCTGAAGGAGCAGACCCACACTCACCTTTGCCATGGTTACCTCTCCATGCGACACAGACTCTCATCAGCCTGTCCTAGGAGAACAGGTCTTCTGTGCCACTGTCTTCCCTGGACCTTCTCCAAGTCTCCTTCTAGAAGCTGGGTAACCAGACTTGCAGGCAGCATCTTAGGATCAGACAAGCCATGGCTTGAATGTAAGGGTCAGAGAGCCATATTCTCTGTCTTGCTTAGCTATGGCTCTATAGGGGACAACCCCAAAACCAGTATATTTATATCATTGTCCCTCTTTGGAGTAGAGGCCCTGCTGTATTTAAAGGACTGTGAAAGGCAACTAGAGAATCTATTTAGAGATCTGGAAAATCACTGTTAGGGATTGAATTGTGTCCCCCAAAATTCATGTTGAAGTCCCAACACCCAGTACTTCCAGATCACTCAGCACAGGGACACAGCAGTGATTTCATTTGGAAATAGGTCTTGGAAATGTAATCAAGATATAAGTTAAGATGAGATCATACTGGAGTAAGGTCGGCCCTTAATCAAATATGACCAGCATTCTTTATAAGAGAAGCACACAAAGACAGACACACACAGAAAGAAGGATGCCATGTGAAGACACAGACACACAGCAAGCAAACAGCCATGTGATGATGGAGCCAGAGACTAGAGTCATGCAGTTATAAGTGAAGAAACACTGAGGACTGCTGGCAAACACCAGAAGTTAGGAGAGAAAGGATGGCTCTGGTAACACCTTGGATTTGGACTTTTAGCCCCCAGAACTATGAAAGAATACATTTCTATTGTTAAGACATTAGTTTATGATACTTTGTTATGGCAGACCTAGCAGACTAATGCACAGAGCGAATAGAGTGCACCCCACTAATTGCAAGGGGGAAGTATAGAAATGAATTGTAAAATCTGAAGTATATTGCAGTAAACTTTATGACCTGGGATGTCCTAAGTCATAAGTCTATAAAAATTCTTCAAGTTTAAACATACAGATCTTTCATACATTCCCAAAATTTACCTTGATCAGCTCTGATAAAACTAAAGTAGTAGTAACACATTAATTTTCCCAAATAAAGTTTAGTCAATGACAGACTACCATTACAAGGCTTATCAGGAATGTCTATTTCCTAACTAATGCAGAATCTAAATGTCACTAGGCTCATTGCCATGTGCTCTCCCCAACCCAAAGCCCTTGAAAGGAAAATGCCAAACTCTTGTGGTAAAAATGGCCTGGTTGTTTAGCAGAAATAAATTACACATGGTTAACAGTTAATGTAGGGCTTATCTCCTGGCAACTACATACCAAGAACAAGAGCCTTGGAAAATGAAATGATATTCAGTCCTACTTTCCAAAGGTTGTATCAAAAGAAACTTTATCTCAGCTTTTCATGGGATTAGTCAATAAACTCCAATCTAGTGTTCCTGGTGAAAATTTAAGGGGAAACCCTTGAATCACCTCATTGTATCTAAAATAACTTGTAACTATAGGAAGTTACCCACCTCTCTTTAAATCCAAGCATCATTCACTGCTTCCACCTACTAAGAATAATGCCAGTGAGCAGATATGGGACACTCTGTTGTCCTTAATAAAATGGAGCGTAACAAGGCCATTCTGGTTTATAAAAATTATCAGTAATAAAATTTTGTTCAACAGTGACAAGGCATCATGGTACTTGCCAGCCTTTAAAAGTGATCAGAAATTTAGAATGCCAGAATTAAAAGGATGTACAGTGTTGGTCATCTGGCCCACTTGGTCCCTCCTGCCCCTTCTCAGAAAGTCAGACCCCAGGCTAAAAACATACAGCACAAATGAAGCAGGTGTCATGCCAGGTATGCCCCAGGGCTTCAATAAACTTGTCACCAGCCTCCACAGGGAAATCGCAGCCGTGACACTTGGTGCTGAACAGGTTGACATAGTCTGAAATGAAAGGCAGAGTGAGGACCTGCACCCAGGCAGGCTAGGAGGAGCGACCTGACCGTATCAACCCAATGTCAGGGCAACCCCTCAAGTCACTGGGCTAGGGCCACTGGGTGAAACCCAATTCGTTACTTGTCATCTTGCAGACAAAATATTCAGTTACAAGATTTTTCCCCCTTTTCCAGTAATTTGCACTTGTATTGTGCAGATTCAGGCTTAGTCACCATCCTGTGCTAGTTTGATTTGCAAACACTTTCTCACATTCTCATTAACTTTCTGCAGGGTGGTTTTCTCCTCTGTTTTTGTCATCTCTTATAGCCCAAACAAACTAATCACAGAAAAAAGGAAAACATGATATTTCTCAGCAGCTATGCTTATTTTAGATGAAAGAGAGCCCTTAACATTTTTAATGGTTATAGAAGCTCTTTGCAAGGTCATTCTTCTGTTATTGGGTATTTTTAAAATATTTTTTATTTTTATTGATTCCAGAGAGAGGGGAAGGGAAAGAAAAAGATAGGGAGAGAAACATTGATATGAGAGAGAAACATCAATAGGTTGCCTCTTGCATGCGCCCCAAGTAGGGACTGAACCTGGAACCCAAGCGTGTACCCTGACCAAGAATTGAACCTGTGACCTTTGGTTTGCAGAATGTCGCTCAACCAACTGAACTACACTAGCCAGGGCTCTGGGCATTTGTTTTAATAACAAATTTTCACTACTGGAAATAATATTTGAGCCACTTTGCTGGGACATATACCCCGCACCCTCCCCCAGCCAAGGAGATAGTAATACCAATATTATTTCTATAATGCTTTATAGTTTACTGAGCATTCTCACAAGGATGGTATTATTAACTGGTGTCTCAATGTCAAGGTCTTTGTACTCCCAGCACAGTGCCTGGCACACAAGTCAGCACCTAACACACGTGTTGAATGAATGAGTGAATGGATAAATCAGTAAATCAATAAATCAATGAATGAAATAAACCTTTGCAAAATCCCTCAGAGATTGAATTATCACTGTTTTTCTATTTTGTTTTGTTTTATTCTGTGGATGAAGAAACTGGAGATCAAAGAGGTGAAGGGCCTGGGCAGAGTCACAAGGCTGAGACACATGGCCAGGTCCTGGGCTTCACTACCACAAGAACTTTCCTCTCTGGGCCACAGGGGCAGCAATTCTACTGCTCAATATAGAACTGCTCCAGGTTTTTCTAAAAAAGCTCGATGGCTTTTATGAAGCCTTCATTTCCCCAGAAGTGTACTGGTCTCTCCACAGCTCCACCACAGTTGGCTTTTTCTTACAATGATTTTTCTGCTCAGGAGTGCTTATGGATAATAGGCCTGTTCACTGTCTTAGGCCACATGCTGAGAGGCAGAGTGCCATGGTGGTTATGAATTTGGGTTATGAAGAAAGAAAGAGCTGGGTTCAAATCCCAGCTCTATTATGAATTGTTCAAACCTGAGGCAAGCGGCCTGATTTCTCAGTGCCTCAACTTTCTCACCTATATAATGGGAATAACTACAGTACCTACCTCATGGAGTTTTTATACAGAATAAATAAGATAATGTATGTGAAGTACTTGGCACGAGTCCTCAAAATGTTGGCTCTTATTTTGAATGTCTTTATAAATGGTGAAAGGGGGGAAGGGAACTGATTTGAGTACCATGTGCCAATCCAATATTAGTGCTTTTCCATGTTTCTTGTTTAATCTTCACAGCAGCTCTGTGATAAAGCATTATTTCCATTTTATTTATTTTTTTTTATGTATGTTCACTTATTTGGGGGGGAGGAGGGGAGGGGGGGGAGAGAGAGAGAGAGAGAGAGACAATGATGTGAGAGAGAAACATCAATTGGTTGCCTTTTGCACATGCCCTGACTGGGGACCCAACCTGCAACCTAGGCATGTGCCCTGACCAGGAATTGAACCTGAGACCTTTTAGTCTGTGGGAGGATGCCCAACCAACTGAGCCACACTAGCCAGGGCATACTATTTATTCTCATTTTAAAGACAAGGAAACTGACGGTAGAGGTTCTATTATGCAAATAGTAAGGAGCCTAATGGACTCCAAATTTATCATCCTCTTTACATGACTTCATGCTGTCTACAGTTACCTATTTGCCACTGAGCTTTGATAAGTTACACCTCTTGCATTTTTCTAATGTATGGTTTCCCTTTTTGGGTGTAATTATAGTTTGACATGTAAATGCTTTTACATATATCACAGTCTGTGAACTTTGTTTCTGACAGACTACTTAATTTCTTCAGTAGGCAGAAATCCATCACCTCACCAGAGCTAAGAAAACATTATTCTGCTTCCTTTACGGAGTTACAGCAGGTTTATCATTCATTCTATGCTCTGTGGAGCTTATTAGTGTGGGATAGGAAATAGAGCTATAGGCCAACCCATCTCCACTGGAGGGCAAGCCCTGCACCCGACTCCTGACTTCTCTCTTCCTACTCCCAGTTGGTCTCCAGATGCTGTGGGCTCTCTCTTCCACCTCCATGCCTCTGTATGAACCATGACCTGGGCTTGGAAAACTCTCCTCACTTAGTCTATCTGAACCTCTATAATCCTTTGGGCCAGGCCCTTCTTCTGGGAGGTTGTCACCCACACTCCACCAAGAGATATGAGATGGCCTTCCAGAGTGCTTCTTGTGAGTTTCCCTTCCTCTTCATTCATTCGTTATCTCTTAACTGTCCACTTATGTGCTGGTATATCACATGATGATGGGTCTACTTGAGGTTTTTGTGGGTAGAGGTCCCTTCTTACATGCCCAGCTTCTTACACAGGAACTGGCACACATTTGATAGGTAAATGATGAATTGATAATGAAATGGCTCAAACAGCCTTATTAAATAGTAATTCCTTCTCCTGTTGTGAAACCTGTGTTTTTTCACAGATTAAGCTCTTACAGTGGCTTGATTTTACTTTTGGAATATCTAGCCTTTCCTACTGGTTGATTTTTCTGTTTTAGATTTGATTCTATATGATCTGGAGAATTGCCAATTTGCTTTAAAATTTGGTAGTACAGATCTGACTCTACTACATTAAAAAAAAAAACCCAAAAAACCCTGATATTTTTCATCATTTATTCTACAGAAGAACATAATAAGTATTGAATCAAGTTTGTATGTGGGCCTTTCCCACCAGAAGCATAATCTATTTCCTTGTATTTATTCTTTGCTTTATTTCTCCTATTAAGTCTTTATAATTTTCTTTGACTCCCTTCTGCCCTAAGTTGAATTCATACCCTGTATTTAATGGATTTTATTGCTCTTGTAAAAGGATTTCCTCCATGAAATCACAGATGCTCTGTGTTGAAAAAGGGCTTAGTGCTTTACCAGAGCAGTGGTTCTCAAAAATCTGGAGCGTTAATAAAAACACAGACGGCCGGGCCTCACCCCTCAGAATTTCTGATTCAACATATCTAGGGTGAGGCTGGAAGATACACTTTCTGATAGGTTCCCAGGCGATGTTAAAGCTGCTGGTCTTGGGACCACACTTGGATTCCCAAACTTAACTGAATATAGGCATCACCTGGGTGAGAGAGGGGCACCCCATGAAATTTCACTTATGGAGATTTGGGAATTTATGTTTTCTGTCTCTTTAAAGTTCCCCCAGGTGATTGTGATGCCCTGCAGGGCCCGGACACCGCTCCAATGCAGGCCAGTCTGGGAGGGTCTGACCCTCCCAACTGTCTTACCTGTATGCAAGATGTAATATATAAAAGGGTCAGCTCATCATTGCAGCCAACTAAAATCTTTTTGAGTCTGGATCCTATTGTTCTGTGCCTTCTTCCAAGTTGTTAATAAAAATGATGACAAAGTACTGCAATGTGAAATACTACTTCACACTCATTAGGATGATTGCTAACAGAAATAATAGTTAATAAATCAGAAAATAACAAATATGGGCAAAAAATGTAGAGCAGTTAGAATTCTGTACACTGTTGGTGGGGTGTAAAATAGGATAATAGGATGGAGGTTCCTCAAAAAGCAAAAAATAGGACTACCATATAACCCAGAAATTCTACCGCTGGGCATATACCCAAAAGAACTGAAAACAGGATCTTGAGGAGATATTTGCACACCTGCATTCATAGCAGCTCTGCTCACAATAATGAAGAAGTGAAAGCAACCTAAATGTCCATCAACCTTTTGTGGGGGCTTACTATGGAGAGGGCAGTAGTGATGGTTGGAATCTATCATTCTTTCGCAAACCTGAAACACAAATTATGGCTTATCTAAAATTATTAAAGTTATAACACTTTTAGCAGATTAATAATTGCAGTCACATTGGAAAAATAGCACTTTTCTTAATTACGAATAATCACCATATGTTCATAAGAAGAGAAAAAACAAGTGTTATCCTCTCTCTTTTACAGATATGGAAAGTGAGGCACAGTTATTAAGTGACTAAGTCATTCAATTAACTTCAGAGCTGGAAAGAGACTTTACCAGCATACAAAAATCCAAGAAATCGCTTTTATAATTTATTGTTGGGGGGAAATTTTTCATTTTGTTTTGCTTTTCTCCTTGAAGAACTAAAATGTTTTCTCCTCTCTGATTTTAAAGTAAACTAACTTATTGTGTTTCTCTTTTTGCCCTCAAATGTGCTACTCGGTCACTGTAACTCTGTCTTCATAATCAGCATGCTTGCTTTTCCCTCCTCTACTTAGTTCTGATTTTCTATTTCTATTGTCTTAACCACTATGTCAATGTTACCTTTTGTTGGAAGCTGCCTCAAGTCCTTTTCTAAAAGAAGCAGGCTGTGAATAAACAAGCGAGTGAGTGGGTGAGTGAAGGACTAGTTAGCCCAGATACTCTACTCTTTATAATAGAGTGCTTTGTCTTCAGAATTTATGAGAATTTCCTCCAAGTTTTAAGACAACATATAGCATTTTGGGAGGCAGAGAAACTCTGAATTCAGACAGGGAGATTATAGGACCCTGAAGGAACACTGTAAGAGCAGGGAGAGGAACTTCAAGTATTTGATGCTTTACACAACTTTCTCTGCCTTAATCCTCACTATAACTCTGTGAGGCAGGTGGGAAAAGTGAGGCTCAGAGAAGTGCAATGGCTCACTCAAGGTTGCAAAGTCAACCTTGAGGTGGAGCCTGGAAGAGAACCCAGAATAAAGTACAGAGCCAAAGCCTTTTCAGACTAGATATTCTGGTCTCCAAATCAAAATCATCTGAAAGCTTTCCCACACCACTACAAGATGACAGTTTGTGTCCCACATATTTGGTGAAGGGAAGGGAACAGAGATTGAATGTATAAAAAAACAAGCTCCTCTCTCACGCCCCCAACCCTTCCATCCACCCACCCACACCTGCCCCTGGGAAAGCTACAACCCAATGGTCAGGGGAGATAGTTTAATGAACTTCCTCTGTGCAATATTGGCGCGATTCTGCCACTTGGAGCCTCCTAATGGTTTCATGTGAATTGGCCTAGGCAGAAAGTGAGGGGATGAGGTGTGGGGGGCCTCCCACCAGGTCAACAGCCCTACCTTTCTCACAGTAGGGCTCCCCATCTTCCATGTGGAAGAGGCTATTCCCAAAGGGCTTCTTGCAGGCTGCACAGATGAAGCAAGTGGTGTGCCACGTCTGTTTCAGGGCATGCATCACTTCCTGAGGGAAAGAGCTTTGGTTCAGAGAGAAAGGTCCAGGGGCAGGGGAGCTGGGCTTGCCTTCCCCACCAGACCCTGGCCAAGGCCAGAGCATCCCATCTGGGAGCACGGCAGGAGAGCCCAGGTAGCAGGCCTTGGATGCTCCAAGGAAAGGCCCTCAAAGGAGGGGTTCCTACTCATTCAGCACTTGCTGGGTGCCAGGTTCTGAGAGTGCTTATGTAACTGAGATGCTTCACACTCCCATCAAACCTGGAAGGGAGGTACTGCTTGATACTGCCATTTTACCAAGGGGTATCCAGGATCAAGGCTGCATTCAGGTCCATGGTAAGGTCAGGCTATGAAGCCATTACTTGCTTTGCAGAAGCTCTACCACCACTTCAAGCTGTGTAGCCCAAGCATGTAATCATCTTTCACTGCAAGTTCATTTGCTCCCTAGTTCATTGGTGGCAAACTAATTTCCTTCCAGAATAGAAATGGAGTTGCCCCCTCTATTAGCAGCAACTTCTCAGCTTTCTTGGGAGAGGGGGAAAGATTGGTTGGAGAAAATACAAGGGTCAGAGAAGGATGCAGCCTGCCCACTTACCCCCATGATTTTGGTGTTGCACTTGGCACAGGTTGGGGCAAAGAACTGCTCATAACACCGCTCACAGTAAACGTTGTTCTGCTCCTCCACAAAGCATACGTCTGCCAGGGAGGACTTGCAGTAGGCACAGTTGAACTCTTCTGGGTGCCAGGAGCGGCCCATAGCTACCAGAAAGGGGCCCCTGGGAAGCAGAGAACAGCACCTACTAAGGCAGCCCCAAAAGCTTGAGATCCCCAAGAATGCCCATACTTTGACCCTATGATCCTGATTTTTGTGATTGTTCTAATGAAATAATGTAAAATTCAGATAAAGCTCCTTGCAGAAAGATGTTTATTGTTGCATGGCTTACAATAGAGAACTGGGAAGTGACTCAAACATCTGCCATAGGGGATGGGGTTAAACATATTATGGACTATCTATTCAATTGACTACTGATGATTACAACAGGAAGAGCAATGATGATGGGGCTGATAGCTAACATTTACTAAGTGCTTCCTCTGTGTGAGGCACTGGTCAAGAAGAAATCTGTATTTGTTGACTTAATTCTCACAATAATCCTGTGAGGTCGTTACTACTATGATACCCACTTTCAGATAAGGAAACTGAGGCACAGAGAGGTTAAGTAAGTTGTTCCAGGTCATAGGCCTAGTATGGCAGTCCCAGAACACAAACCTGGGGAGTCTAGGTCCACATTAGTAGTCAGAAGAGTGGGACTATGAGGAATGTTTTATATTTTAATTTTTCTTTCCAAATTTTCTAGTTCTTCTCTGAGATGTGTTACTTTATTTTTAAGTAAAAGTATATTTTTCATATATATGTAAGCTTCCTGTCCTCCTGACATACACACATTCTGTAAACATACTATATTCAAATAAGCACCACATATCATCCTGGCTTCTAAGTTTGAAATGACTTATTTTCATTATTGTGGCAGGTGCCCACCAAAGCCCTGAGCAGCACAGGCCTGTCTGTGGAAAGACCCAGAAGCAACCCTAAAGGAAAACTTGGTCAAAACCAGCACTGTCAGCCAGCTTGCAATATGCCCAATTAACCTACTGACAATAAGACCTGCCATTCTCAGAACGAAGCCTTAGGCCAAGGGGAAGATCCTGGCATCAGGTACCACACTGGGAGCCTCACCCACTTACCTCACGGAATCCTCCCAACTTCCCAGAGAAGTGGGTGTCACACAGGGATGGAAGCCAAAGCTCAGAGAGGGTCAGACCAGATGTTGGCCCAAAGGGCCCTGAGGCTGCCCTGCATGCATACAGCCTTCTCCCTATACCTGCCCTCCCATTCCCCAGCCCTACTATAGGGCTCAGACAGTAGGCAAGCAACCTGCACCCCCACCCTTCCAGCACCCCCACCCTTCCAGCACCCCAGCACAGGGCCACAGTTGGACCATACCGGATGACATTGTTGCAGTGGCCACAGAGCGGGGTCCGGCTGCTGGCTGGGAAGCGCTCAGCCCTTTGGAAGGTACCCCTAGCAAGAGGGGACACCTGGGAACCTGGGGTATAGGCAGGGGTCCCTCCAGGCAGAGACTGCTTGCTGAGGGTGGTGGTGCTCTTGCCAGGGGCAAACTTCTGAGAAAAGTTGTCATCTGTCACCCAAGGGGGGCGGCTGGCAGATTCAGTAGGGCCTCCACTGTAGGCCACTGATGAAGCAGGGTTATAGCTTGGGGCAGGTGATGGGGTATAGGCTGGTGCTGGAGAGGGGGAGTAGGTGGGGGCAGGGGAGGGGGAGAAGGTAGGGGCAGGGGAGGGAGTATAGGCAGGGGCAGGGGAGGGGGTATAGGCAGGGGCAGGGGAGGGGTTATAGGGAGTTGGACTGTAATTGGCCCCCGGGGATGGGCTGTAGGTAGATGCAGGCACTGCAAACCAAAAAGATCCAAAGAAAATGTGTCAGGAATTCACTCCCCCCAACTTCCCACACCCCCACCCCCAGCCAGAGAAAGGCAACTTTAATATTAGAGTAGGACAGTTCCAATTTTTACCCTAAGAGACACAATCCTGAGCTTCTTGATGTCCTGGATTTGAAATTGCAGCTGGAGCCAAGGGAGATAAGAGCCCTGGGAGAAGAGCCCCAGAAGCTCAGAGCCTGGATGAGGCTGGGAAAGGGACAGAGCCATAAATATCTACAGCTGCAAGGGGGGCGAGGGAGGGGGCTTGCTGGGCCTTGGCTGCCAGAGGTCTGCAGAAAGCAGGGAGTGGAGGTAGGGTGCTAGGCCAGGCTTCTGTCTGGGTCCCCTGTGCCCAGAAGAGTGTGGGAGTGGGTCAGCTTGACCTTGATTGGAAGATGCTTCAGGTGCACTCTGACCTGTGATTCGACATCTGAAATGCCTTGGTTGCATGCGTTTGCTGAACTTGGACCTAGTCCAGTCTTTGGGACAAAGTAAATGACAGGGCAGAAGGTTCTCAGGTTTGGGTTCAGGATTAGCTACAATTGTTTTCCTGAAAAACATCTGGGCTCGATTTTTCCATCTCAGTTTGATTAGGGTGGGGGTCTTGAAGGAGTCACTCAGAGGGAGCCTGGGACAGAGATGCTAAGGTGACACAGTCCAGGTCTAGCTGCCTTTGGGGCACCTGTGCTCTCCCGTGTCACTTTGGTAGAAAGTGAGAGTGGGTCCAAGTGACCACAGAGGTTACCAAGGAAGTCACTGCCCCACTTCTGGAACCCCCTCCTCTAGTTCACAGAGAGCTAAAAACCTTTTTGGGATAACAACACAAAGGAGCATTGAAACTGCTCACCCAAAGCCCTCAGAGGCCTGGACCCTCAAAACCCAGGTATCTTAGTGCTCTGGTGCCTCCACTGTAGAACCACACTGTCCTGCACATACCAGCCAGCCAGCCGGCCTCCTTTTCTGGTGAGGAAGTTTCCAGATGCCACCTCAACTCAGTTTGTTCTGGAGAGGTTTCATTCTCCCACCCTGGAGAGCATGTCAGAGCAGCCTCCTCCCTATTCCTGAGCCTGGTCTGGGTGGATGGACTGTGCTGAGGTGTACTGACCCACCAGGGTCCAACCTACAAAGTAAGGCTTTTCTCAGGGCTAAAAGCCATGGGCTGGCCTCTGGTCACTCCCACCTGTTCCCCCTCGACCACCTTGAGTGGCTTGTGGTCCGCTGCTCCAATTCTGTACCTTCCACTCTCAGATGACTGGCTCTTCAGAGCTGGGTATCCTGGAAACCTTTGTACTGGGGGTGGGGAGGGACCAGACCTGTGTTATGGAAAGCTGAGGGGGTAAAACCCTCCACAACCCTCTGCCCTGGAGCCACTTGGGAGCAATGCTGGCCTCATACTCAAGGAATCTTGTTCCCACTTACCGAGGAGGTAGACTAGACACATAACAGATCATCTTTGTTAGTCCTGTTTACAGTTGAGGTCACTGAGGCTCAGACAGAGCCAGTAAATGGTAAGGCGAGTCTCCAAAACCATTCTATCACCCCAAGCTGCCTCTGTAAAGAGCACAAGTCCAATTTCCATAAAATCTTGGTGTACCATATGATCAAGGAGTAACTGTCAGTATGGAGAAGGACTCATCCTCTGGTATGTAGCACAGCCTTTAGGAGCACAGCTCTACTGTATCCTGGTTATGTGTTCCTGGAAAAGTTCCTTAATATTTCTGGTCCTGAATTTCCTTGTCTAAAAATGGCAATAATAATTCCTAGTATCTTACAGTGTTATTATGAGGATTAAGTAGCTGGCATGGTATATGTGTCACTAAATTAGTGAGAATGATGGGGACTGGTGACTGCTGGGTCTCAGGGTCAGGATGAACTGTCAGCTCATCTCATAGCCTGGTGGTCACCTGAGGGAGCCAAGCCCAGGTAGACTGCGGGATGCAGGGGGCAGGAGTGGGAGATGTGGCGCCCTGAAGTCAGATAACCTGAGGCTGAGTCTACTCACCAGTTGTGCAACGCAAGACACCACTGCCTGCCTCACAGGAAGTGGTAGGCAGCGACCAGTGACATACTGCATTCATTTTGTAAATTTGAAAAGTCCAAATTCAAGGTGTTGTCACTCTTCATAACACCCCTGCATAGCTTCCAAGTGCCCAGAGCAGAGAATCTCAAAGTGCCGGGGACAAGGGGGATGGGGGGAAATGCCTCAAGGGACCAGTTGTGGAGAAGATGATCTAGCAGAACTTCAGGGCAGACTCACTCCTCTGTCATATATAACAGGGTTCTATGCAAGATTTTGTGTTCTTTTTTTGTAAGGTGAGGGAATCTCTGCTACAAGGATTTAAAACAGAAGCTCTAATCCTTTGCTTTCCCATGTGGCTGTTGAGAGCTTGAAATGTGGCTCATCTGAATTGAGAAGTGCTATCAGGATAAAACAAACACCAGATTTTGAAGAGTTAGTATGAGAAAAGAATATAAAATATCTCATTAATAATTATTTTGTATTGGCTATATATTGAAATGATAGTGTGAATATACTGTGTTAAATAAAATAGAGAGGACTTCTGGTCAAGATAGCGACATAAGTAAACATGGCTCACCTCCCCACACAACCACATCAAAATTACAACTAAACTGCAGAACAACCATCACTGAGAACTATCAGAAATTGAGTTGAATAGAAGTCTGACAACTACAGAATTAATGAAATCACATCCATCCACACTGGTCAGAGGGGCAGGGATGTGGAATGGGCTAGTCCCACATCCATGTGTGGTAGATAAAAATTGAGGAGGGATATCTTGGGAACAAGGAGTCCCAGCCCCACACCAAGCCCCCCAGCCCAGGGCTCAAGTGCCAGGAAGATAAGTCTCTATAACTTCTGGTTGCAAAAATCAGCGGGGATTGAGACAGCAGAAGAAACTGCTGGAGTCTCAAGCAGTTCCTCTTAAATAACCCACACATGGACTTACTCAGACTCACTCCCTCTGAGCTCAAGCACCAGGGGAGCAGCTTGAACGGCACCAGGGGCATACAGGGAGGAACTGAAGTGTAGGGCATCAAAGCAAGAGCTGAGGGACAGCTTTCTACCAGACAGAAAAGCAGGCAGAGGCCATTGTCCCTTCTCTGAACCTTCCCGCAACAGAGCCATAGAGCCAGCAGGTGGCTGCCATATCTGAGACTCCATCAACCTGATGAACACTCTTTGCCCTGCATTGGAGATCCCCTGAGGCTCCATTCCACCCAAGCCTACCCAAGCTGTTCACAATGACTTTTCCATATGAATGGCACGTCTTGACTCATGCTTCACAACTCCCTAAATCCTCTCAAACAAACAACAACTGGATTCAGTGAGCCCCAGCCCCCATTTCTTTTGCTAAGTGGACCCAGGCCCAGCACTACCTGCAGTCAGCCTAGATAAACAGTTTTGCTCTTCCTGGGAACCTCCAAGCCCAGCACAAACAGCAGCCATCTCATATTGCTTTATAGCTCATGCAGGCTGGTCCAGAGCAAAACACAGGTAGAGGCTGACCTTGGCCTGCACCACCAGGAAAACCCCAGAGCCTGCACACTCAGCAGACAGCTACAGACCATGTCCAAGCACCACCACCCTGCCCCTGCACAGCTGATCCTCCATGGAGGGCACAGGGTAGTGGTCTGTGGTCACAGCCAGTTCTTGTAGCTGATTGGCATGGGTAAATTCTTCCCATTGACCTGCTAACAGCAATCAAGGCATAACTATAAGAGGAGGGTGTCCTCAGCTCACAGGAAGGGCACACCTTGAGTACTCAGCTTGGGGGAGGCTGTGCCACTGTACCCTATAGGACACCTATTACATTAGGCCACACTACCAAGACAGGGAGTCATAGCGGCTCTACCTAATACATAGAAACAAACACAGGGAGGCTGCCAAAATGAGAAGACAAAGAAACATGGCCCAAATGAAAGAACAGATCAAAACTCCAGAAAAAGAACTAAACGAAATGGAGATAAGCAATCTGTCAGATGCGGAGTTCAAAACAATGGTTATAAGGATGCTCAAGGAACTTAGTGAGGACCTCAATAACATAAAAAAAAAAAAAAAAAAAAAAAATCCAGTCAGGAATGAAGGATACGCTAATTGAAATAAAGAACAATTTACAGGGAAGCAACAGTAGAGTGGATGAAGCCAAGAATCAAATCAATGATTTGGAACATAAGAAAGCAAAAAACAACCAATCAGAACAAGAAGAAGAAAAAAGAATCCAAAAAAAAAAAAAATGAGGATAGTGTAAGCAGCCTCTGGGACAACTTGAAGCATTTCAACATTCACATCATAGGGGTGCCAGAAGGAGAAGAGAAAGAGCAAGAAATTGAAATCTATTTGAAAAAAATAATGAAAGAAAACTTCCCTAATTTGGTGAAGGAAATACATACACAAGTCTAGGAAGCACAGAGAGTTCCAAGCAAAATGGATGCAAAGAGGCCCACTCAAGGCACATCATAATTAAAATGCCAAAGGTTAAAGATAAAGACAGAATCTTAAAAGCAGCAAGAGAAAAGCAGGTAGTTGCCTAGAGGGGTGTTCCCATAAGACTGTCTGCTGATTTCTTACAAGAAACTTTGCAGGCTAGATGGCATTGGCAAGAAATATTCAAAGTCATGAAAAGCAGGAACTTACAGCCAAGATTGCTCTATCCAGCAAAGCTATTATTTAGAGTTGAAATGCAGATAAAGTGCTTCCCAGACAAGAAATAACTAAAGGAGTTCATCATCACCAAACCATTATTATATGAAATGTTAAAGGGACTTACTTAAGAAAATCAAAACTATGAACAATAAAATAGCAATAAATACATATATATCAACAATTGAATCTAAAATACAAACTAAGTGAACAGAGACAGAATCATGGATTTGGAGAACGTTTTAATGCTTGCCAGATGGGAGGAGGGCGTAGGGGAATGGGTGAAGATGTGAGGGGATTAAGAAGTACAAATAGGTAGTTACATGGGGATGTAAAGTACAGTAGGGGAAGTGGAGTGGCCAAAGAATTTACACATGTGACCATGGACATGAACAATGCTGTGGGGATTGCCTGAGGGAGTGGGGGTTGCTGGGTGGTGGAAAAGGGGGAAAAATTGGGACAACTATGATAGCATAATCAATAAAATATAATTAAAAATAAAATATAAACTTATTTTCACCTGCTTCCTTTTACTTTGCTTTAAAATGTGGCCACTAGAAAATTAATTTTTATTTGACAGTAGCTAACAAGTACTGACTGCTTCCACATCCCAGGCCCTTTATATGCATTATTTCATGTAACACTCACTGTAGTCCAATGAGGCAGATAATATTTTCAAGTCCAATTTACAGATGAGGAACTGAAGCTTGGAGAACTTAAGTGACTACCTCAGAGTCACTGAGCTTGTCAACTACCTAGCTGACCTGGAGCTCAGGTAGTCGAACTAAAAACCAGATCCTCTCTCCACCCTCAGTTTAACTACTCCCGAGGCAGCAAAAACAAGCCCCTTTCCAAATCAAGTCCTTGCCTACTTTTCCTGCCTTACTCTAGGATTACTTAAACCAGTTCCCTCTACCTGGAAAACATCTCTTTCCTCCTCCCCTTCTTCCAGACTCCTTGATCCAGCCCCGTTTCCTAAGTCGCTACAACACGAAGATCTCAGCGGTCAAAGGCAGGCCAAAATCTGGTCCTGAATTTTGCCGCTTCCTTGAGCAAGGCTCACTCATCCAGAGCTGGGGACCTTCCCTTCTCCAGGCACAGCCCGGAAGCTCCCCTCCCCCATCATGACCTGCCATTCCTGGAGGGAAGGGGGCCGGGAAGCAGCTGCTCCCTGTGGCCCCCTTCCCTCTGCGCCCTGATGCCCGGCTCGCGTCACCACTCGGACTTGCCTGCAAAGACCCGATATCCCATCTCCAAGTCCCGGGCTGTTGCTATTTCTGTGTGACGGAATTCAGCCGCCCAAATTAGAAGGTGATATTTCATCTTTAATTGGCAAGTTCAAAAGGCCCCTATCGCACTCGCAGGCTCGGGAATGTGTAATTAAACAAGGTGATTTCTGACTCATTGCAGGTCGGGCTGGCTTCCCGGGAGCGCCTGGCCCCCGCCCCGCCCACGGGCCGACCCGGCCTGGGCTTCTACGCTGTTGCCTGGCTTCCTCCCGGGCCCCAGGTGCTCCGGGAAGGGAAGCGCCGCCCAGCCCCGGCGCCAGCGATAAGATCTGGGCTGTGAACACCACCCTCGTCCTGGAGGAGCCCCCGCGGGGACCTGCGGCTGAGGTGCTCGGAGGAGGGGAGGAGGGGAGGATGGGAGGAGGCTCAGAGGCTCAGAGGCTCGGGCCCACGTTCCCTGCTTCTCGCTGGGCCGCTTGCCAGCTGCCCCCGGACCCCACCCGGCAGCAGTGCCTCCCCGAGAGAGGGGGTGGAGGCAGGCCGCCTCCTTCCCTCCCGGCGGGAATGAGTTAACGTCTACCAGCCTGGGAACGCTGTGGAGGCCCCGGGCTCCTGCAGGCCTCGCCAGCCTGGGCCGTAGCGCGTAAGGAGGAGGGAAGCGGCGCCTTGCGGGCCAAGCAGTGCCGCCCCCGGAGTTCTGCCGCCCCCTGGTGGGCCTGCGAAGGAGAGCCTGCGCGGGTGCGGGACTCAGAACCCGGGCCCGCCCTGGAAGGTGCCCAGAAAGACCTGCCTGGGACGCGAGCCCTACCCGGCCAGGGCACGAGGCCCAGACAGGTGTGTGTTCCACACAGATCTCCACCTGCCCCCGCTCCTTCAAACTCCTTTCCACCCTCCCTTCGGTGTTCCCAATCCCCGCGGGCTAGCTGCTTCAGAACGTTGTGTCCTTGCCTCTGAAGGCACAGAGAATGGCACCTCCTGTGTACCCAGCACTGCGCTTGGTGCTTCATTTCATTCCCAGAACACGAGGTGTATACAGTATCACGCCCATTTTTCAAACGAGCAAACGCCCCCCCTCCCCAGGAGATGAGTATTTTGCCCTAGATAGCAGAGCAGGCCCTGCTAGGGGAGTCTGTCTTACGATAACGCCTCTCTACTGCCTGCACTCAACTCTGCTGTCACAGTGAGTTCTGTCAACGCAGGTCTGGGGGGGGCTCCTGTGCCCTATACAAGTCAAGCTCCTGAAGCAAGGCCCTTCTTGACTCAGTGCTTGTTTGCCTCCCCTGCTCTCCAGCCTCGTAAGAATAGTCACTGGGATCTTTCATGTTACCTAACAAGACATGCTCCTGAGCCCAGACTTTACGCTTCCTTTATTTACCCTGTGGCTGGCTGCTTGGCCAACTCTCCCTGTCCTTCCAGACATGGAGAAGCCTCCTCCCCGCCCCCTTAGAATTAACTACCTCATTATTTCCCAAACGAGACATTAACTTCCTCACTTCGAGTTTTACTATATGTAAAAATGATATGTGTACAATAATTTAGGGAGGAAAGAACAGTTTATATCCCTACTGCAAGTGGAAAAGTATTAATGTTTTCCATAAATTCAAGATGTCCATAAAAATAAATATGTTGAAAGTATAATGCTTTAAATGAAGAGCATGTACCCACCTAATTTCCTATCTGATCCATCCATGTAATAGGCACCAGGGCATCACTCTGGGAACCCTTGTGATCATTATCCCTGGGTGTTCAGGCACCAGAGCATGCAGCTCATAGCCTCTTCTCTGCCCACTCCCCATTGCAAGTGGGAGGACACTTGTGATTCTCATCAGCATTCATTCATTCATTTGTTCCTATTCACTTCTTTTGCTGAGTAGCTATAGGCTTGCCCTCCTGGAATTCAGAGTCCAGAGGGAAGGAGGGGATAAATGGTGATATTAGCAGTCAGGGCCTAGATGCCAGGAGCTCTCCTGTGGGCACATCCTATAGACCAGAGCACATGGAACCTTTCCCCAGCCTAGGAAAATACCTGCTAAGAAGTCCTTAGGTTCATTGAGCAGGAATAGTAGAGGAAGGAGGGTGGTGCAAGCCAGCCTGACCATTGCCCTGGGGCTCTGGGGAGCAGGCCCAACTTTGGCTAGGAAATAAAGGGTCATGGGGCTGAGCCCTCATCCCTGCAAGGGGGCCCTAGGCAGTGAAGAGAATGGGAACCAGAGTGATAGAACAGACAGTCAGTGTGCTCAGGCACTGTCAACTGTGTGCAGGCCTCCCTGCTACCTTACTTATGCTTTCCATGCCTCCAGTTATCCTGCCTCAGCTGAGGAAACCAAAGACCAGACAGGTTGAGCAGCTTGCCCAGTGTCACACCTTGATGCTGCAGGGCTTTCCAAAGCCCATCGCATCTTTTGTATAGCTGCCCGTCCTCTGGTTTGAGCCAGACCCAGACTCCTGGAGAACAAACTCCTCTCCCTAAATCCTCTTCCCTCGCCTTGAGCCTGAAAATCCCCAGGCAGGACCATCCTCTTCCTAAGAGCTATGTTCCTGCTTGGCACTGCCCGTCTGTCTCCCCAGAGTCAGAGGCAGGCTCTACAGGATTCTGGCCTACAACCGGGGGAAGGAGGTCTGAACCACATTAGCAGGGCCTCTCTGACCACCATCCTTCTGAGGATGTGGCCTCAGAACTGACCCTTGGAACCTGTGCCCAGTGTGATAGTGTCCCCTCCCACTCTCCTCTCACCTGGCTGGTAGACAGAAGGCCGAATGCTGGCAGTGGTGACGACCCGAGGCTTGGGTGCAGGGGCAGCTGGGGCTTCGGTGTATGTGTGGGCAGCAGGTGCTGGAGAGGTTGCCTTGGTGGTACTGTAAGCAGAGGCCTGGGGCCTGGAACCGAGGGGGGAAGAGTTAGTGGCCAAGAGGACAGCCACACGCAGGCCCTGGCACTAGCAGCCATTGCAGATTGGCTCTCCAATCTTCAGGAGCCTCTGTGGAGAGGAAGCCTGATAGAGATGATCTGGGACAGCTGCCAGAGGCTGTGAGGAAAGACCATGAGGTCTTAGAGGGGAGGAAGGTGCTCCTTGGGTGTTGAGTCTTGGCGAGGTTGGTTAAAGCCGCAGAGACACCTAGAGAGGTATAGTCCACAGAGAGAGGGAGGACAGCCACCAGCTGGACATCAGGATGCAGAGAAAATCCTTCACCCCCATGGGAAGAGACTGCAAGGGTAGGCCTGGGGCTGGAGGGAACAGAGGCAGGAGAGAGGTAGTGGGGGTAGTCAGAGATGCCCCGCCCCCTCTACCTTCTGATCTTGTGGCACTTCACAGTCTCAGACTGCCTGACCTCCTCCCCTCCCCCTTTCTACTGTTACTGGAGGGAGCAGTAAAGTCTCAGGGTTTTGGGCAAGAGGGCTCCAGGGAGGGCTCATGGGAAGCCAGGAGACCCCCTCACCCCAAACATACTTCTCTTCCAAGTACAATTCTTGCCCTCTTCCCACTGGGTTAGCTGCCAAGAGGCTTAGAGCGGCCTTTTCCTACTTGTGGCCCAGGGATCATGAGACCAAAGAGATGGAGGAAAAAAAGTGTCCCAGTTCATTGCCCTCAGGAAATGCTGTACTTGGCCTCTCTTCTTGGAGAGCTGAAGACTATAAGAACTGCCGGAGTTAAGCATCTTGTTTTACTTTGACTGATCCAGTGTTTCACAATTTCATTTGTCTGTGAATCCCTCCCCCCTTTTTCTTTTTCCATTTAAAACTGATGAACACCTTACAGAACACATCCCTCATCTTTCCCTACATCTTTCCGATACCAACAGGAACCATGTGACCACACCCAGGGGAAACAGGGTCCCGAAGAAGTGAGCTCCTGGAAATGTACTGCCCCTCACCAGCCAATGGCTTCCTTCCTTCCCTCTTCCTGTTTGACACGGGCTCAGGGCCTATGCATCATGCTGGGCCAAGTCATAGGATAAGGGAGTACCTGCCTTTCTAGGACTCTGGAAGTGGGTGGCTCTGAGCTAAGAACCCACTGTCAAGCTCCTGATTTGTGCTGCCCCAGACAGTGCCGAGGTGCAATGAGCTTCAGACAGCCATCGTCCTAGACCTGGTTGGTGTGGAGACTCTCTGCCACATTGCCATGTTTCTGGTTGAGTGAGGCCACTGTCTCCCCTCCCTGGGCCTGCCTGCCCTTCCCTGACCAACCTGTTAAGACCAGTAGGGTTCTCAATGGAAGGAGACAGTGTCCATAGGGTACCCAGCTTCCACTGTGGTGGGAGAAGGCCAAGTCAGTGGGTCTTAATCAGACATTCTCACCAGTGGAGGATGCTTTCTCAGCATCCCAGGAACCATGGGTCCTGTGTCAGGGATTGCTGTTGTGGGAGAAAGCTGAGGCTTAAGATTCTGAGGCCATGCTCCAGTGAAACGCTGGGTGGCCCTTTGCCTCCCACTTGCTCCCTCTACCTTCATCCCAGCCCTTGTACAGGAAGGGAAGGTAGCTACGCCCAGAGTGTGGTCCCCTGGTGACTTCTGCTCCAGCCCAAAGCTAGGAGCATTCCAGGTCCCTCTCCAACCTCCACCCAGGCTCTCTTAGCAAGACAAAGTGAAGGGAAGTCTACCCTACTGAGGGAGTCCTGAGGGCCCCAGGAGACAGAGGCCTGGGCTGCGCTGCTGAATCCTGCCTTTGAGCATAGCCCCAGCATCCAGAGCTCCCCATTCCAAACCGGGGAGGCATCTTCCCACTCAGCAGCAGGGACATTTCTTAACCTCCTTTAAGTTTCTTCTTTGTGCCCTTACCTGAAGCAATTCTGGTAGGCAGAGGGGAAGCACTTGCCAAGTGTCCCTGGAGCTGGGATAGAACAACCCTTGGAGGCTGGAGTAGGCTCACTCTGGAGGCTTGAGTTGGGCTGGGGAAAGGCTGGGCCCAGCACCACCTGGGTCACTGTACAGCCTCAGGGGTAGGGCTGGAGCCCACAAGCTTTTGGGCTACTCCACCCACCCTTCATCCTCCTGAGGCTGCACCTGGAACCTGTGCATCATGAGGCATGTCCTTTCCAGCCAAACCATGGAAGAGGAGTGTGGGAAACTGAGAAACCTGGGTCTGACCTTAACACCAACTTGATAGCTCTGTGCAACCCAGAAAGAGCTGGGTCAGCCTGGTCTGTTATACTGCCTGGCTGTTCCAGAGTGACCTGCCAGCCTGCACCCGCCACCTCCCCACGCCTGCCCACACCCGTTTCACACCCCCGTCCCTGCCTTTGCTGGGTACCCAGGAGGGCAGGTTGGAAAGCAGTAAATTGCAATACCTGAGACCATTTCATGTGATAGGTGTTTTATGTAATTTTTCTATCCCAGCCCTATAAAATAGATATTGCATTACTCTTCACAGGTGAGGAAATTGAGGTACTGAGAAGTTTAATCACTTTCTGAAGATTGTAAACAGTAAGTGGTGGAGCAGAGATTTAAAGCCCACTGCACCAGGTGCCTCTGGAGTTAGCATGCTTTTCCTTCAAGAGAAGAGAGGCTAAGGAACAAGGGCAAGTTAGTTGCTAAATATCTGACCTGCCTTCCCAGAACAGGTCAATGTTCCTTCCTTCACAGAGCCTTCCTCGGCTTTCCCAGCCCATGGTGACAACTTCCATTCTCCCAAATTCCAGTTCCAGGAACACAGACTTTCCACAGAGTCACCCTTTGTTATCTAATGTGTGTGTGTGTGTGTGTGTGTGTGTGTGTGTGTGTGTGTGTGTGTGAAAGAGAGAGAGAGAGAGAGAGAGACTTTTACCTCTCTCACTAGAGCAGACACATCCCTCCTCTGTCCTCAGCCAGACTGTACACTCTCCTTCACTTGCTGCAGCAAGCAGTGCCAGCCTTGACTTCCTCGGGGCCCTGGACTTCTAACTACCTTGGTTAGGCCTTTCTGAGAGCCAGACACAGCTGCCTACAGATGGACCCAGGGTGAGGCCTTTCCTGCCTCCCATCCCCATGTCCAGGGCCAGCACCTGTGGGGCAGTTACCTTGGACTTCCTGCACGGCTGGAAGCAAGGGCCGTGGCAGAGGCAGTAGTAGCGTGGGCAGTGGTTGCAGCCAGGGGTTGCAGCAAGGCTGCGCTGGGAGAGGCAGCAGCAGGCGACGGGGCAGAAGCAGGCAGCAGCAGGGTGGTGGCCTGGCTGGTGCACACTGGAGCATGCTCAATAGGGGTGCTGATGAGGCGGGACCAAGAAAAACAAGAGGTCAAGAGGGTCCCTCTGCATGGCAGTGGTGGCTGCAGCAGAGGCAGGCTGGGCGGAAGGCAGCATTCACACTGCAAACAGAGCAGGATCTTCTGCTCCAGAACCCCAAGAGGGAAGGGGTCAGACCACAAGGAGGATCACAGTAACAAAATTATTCTCAAGCCTGGTAAGAACCCCCCGCCCCACATTTGCACTTCCTAATTTTTCTCTCTGAGTATGTATTACAAAAAACAGTGTGATGGAACAGTAGATTGAATAATCAACTCTCATTCTGTTTTGTTTTGTTTGTTTTCTTGGAGGGGGTCCTTCTCCATTTCATCAGAGGCACATTTTGCCTTTGAGAAGGGATGATACTATGAGGAAAGCAGAGGTCAGATATTTGAGCCTCAAGGGTTTAGGCTCTAGAGTGGTAAGAGCCTGGGTTTTTAGGCTGTGAGGGACCCAAGGCACTAAGAACACATTTGGAAGATGGATGGAAGCTGCCATGCCAGGCAGATCAAAGTTATCTGGACCAGAAAGGGGGCAACATGGCATGGGGGATTTGAGAATAGAGGCAGCTGTGCCCCTTTTCTGGGTAAACTCTAGAGAGGTGGCAGGACCCCATGGTGAAGGCACAAACAGATCCAAGTCAGCCCAGTGATCCCCAGGCTGTCATGTGCCCTCACAGCCATAGAGGATTCCTCATCTACCCAGGAATGTCATGGACATGGCCCTCAGTGCCTGCACATCTGAGATTGGGAACAAGAGAGGTGACTGCTGTGTCAGTGTAGACCAGAGTAGCCAGACAGAATGGGGATATCACCACAGATGCCACTGGAATGGGAATATTCCTGCAGATGCCAGCACAGGTGCACCATGATCAAGGACCGGGTGCCCAGATGCTCTGCCCTGTGTGTTTTGCTATTCTGTAAGCATCTCTTTCCCCCAAACCACTCCAAGGCAAGAGAGGAGCATTAGAGCCTGGATTGGTGGGATTAGATTTCTGCCACCTGTGAAACAGGGACGAGAACACAAATTAAATTACAGAAAAGCAAAGAAATGCACATCCTTTGCTTATCTAAGTCATTGGATTAACATTTCCACTTGCTACAACAGCAACAGTCTGCTGTGACTCCTGCAATTGGGAATGGCTGTCCCCCTGCCATGCCGTTCATTTATTAACCTGGTACTATGTGCCAGGCATATGTCTGTAGTTCCTCACAACCACCCTCTGATGTGGATATTAGCAACTCCGTTTAATAGATGAGGGAATGGAGACGGAGAATTCAATTGCTCAAGCTCCTAGAACATATGGGCAGTGACGGCAGGATCTGACTGAGGGACATTTGGATCTGAAGCCTTACCCAGTACCTCAAGGGCAGCCTCATGGAGGAAGAAAGAAACTCCTGCTTAGAGTGAGGCAAGTAGAAATCTCCCGCAACAAAAGGCACTATTCTTATTAGAAAGAATTAGAATAATAATCTTCCCTCTGTGAGTGCTTACCATATGCCAGGCCTTGTGCAAACAGCTGGATAAGCATTATTCCATTTGATCCTTTCAACCTTGCTGGGAGATTGGTATCAAGATCCTCATTTTACAGGTGAAGAGTCTGACCTCCAGAGAAACTGAATCTCCGCTAAAACATTCACCAGCTGCCAAAACCTCACTACCACACTTCTCAGATTTTAACATGCAGCAGGTGAATCACCTGCGTATCTTGTTCAAATGCAGCGTCTAGTTCAGTAGGTCTGGGTGGGGCTGAGAGTCTGTATCTCTAACAAGCTCCCAGCTGATGCTGATGCTGATGGTCCATGGATCACACCTGGAGTAGCAAGGTGCTATAGAGGCTTGTTCCTGATAGGTATGCCAGAGGGCCATGAGCTGTTCACCAAAGCACCATCAAATCAATCTCCATCCAGTGAGGTGCGTGGCAGAGAAAGCCACGAAATAATGTGAGCGGGCCGAGAAAGAAGATAGCTGGAGAAGTGGTAAGGCCATGGGTTGACTGCCCCATAGAAAGGAGCACTAGTCTTCTCTGTGGGTATTAGAAGAAGCTTCCATGATGGGCAAGGGCAGTAGCTATGTCCTGACTAGCGCTTTCCCAGCTTAGTAGTTCTGAGAAGAAGCCTCAGACAGCCCAGTTCTCAGGCCTGTGGCAGTGCCTGGCTCTGGCCTTTCCATGAAGCCACTCACCATCCTCTGGGAAAGAGCCTAGCTTCCGGAAGCTATTTCTGTGAAGCGGCTGCATCGGAGAAGTAGCTGCGGTTCCTGAAGCCATATTGCTGAGCTGGCTGCTAGACCCTCCTCACAGCATGGGCAAGTATGGCCTGGGAAAGTCTAGGCTGACATAGGACACCCAGCCTCCATTATCTATTTCTCTCTGACCCTGTTACATGCTTCCTGTGGGCTTCTGGGAACTGAGGATACCACTCAGGACAGGAGTGATGAAAGTGTCTGGGTTAGGGACAGTATTCTGCTGGACAAACAGAAAGTTGACTTTGCCTGTCCCCTTTGCTCCAATTTCCTGTCAGACCAGCTTACCTGGCATTCTCCCCAGACATAGCTCCAAATGAACCCTGGATCCTGGGGGTGAGGTGGGGCCCTAGAGAAATTCATGATCTTCCACAGGGCCAGAACAAAAGGCATGCACGTGAGCCTGCTGCTTGGGGTTCTTACTGAGTGGCTTCCTATCTAGGTCCACTGTCTGCAGACACCAAGCAGCCAGGGCCTAGGAAAGGTAGGGGAAGCAAGGAAGAATATCCTGAAGGGTCTTGTCCAGGCTAATTCCTGCCAGAAGTTTCATGAGCCCCGCTAAAACCCCAAGGAGTGTGTCAGTGAGCAAGCATGACCCTGGCTTCAGTACTAAAGACAGCACCCATGAAATTGTCCCAGCCTGATTTAGGATGCTATAGTTGCCTCCTGCCTTGGTCATAATTCACTTTAAATATCTAAGCAAAAACCAAACCAAACCAACTCTATTCAACTGCTCATGGGTCCATGGGGAGTGTGTGGCCAGAGGAGAAACACAGCCTGGCTACAGTCCCCTTTCCAGCCCATCTCGTCTCTCAGTCCAGTTGGCATTAAGGGGGGGCATGCCAACCCTGTGTTTGTTATGGTGCCTTTGGATGGTGCTCTTATTGATGGTAATTATATTATGTATGGAAAGGATGGGCTGAAACTGTTGGTGATGGTGGAGGTGTTGTGATTGTTGGTGCTGGGGTGGGTTCTATTATTGGGGTGATGATGCTATTTGTATTAGTTAAGAGAATGTAGCATGAATGAACATCTCCATTGATTAGCTGATGACAGGACGCCAGTCAGGTGGTTTGTCTTTACATTGTTCATGTTGTGACCCACCTAGATGGCATTTCATCTTGCAGCCTGATCACCAACTATTGCTCAGGGCAGCACTGACCACATCACTTTGCAGCTGGGATGCTGCACTGCACAACTCCAGGGGCCCTGTCGACATTGTAGTCTATGCGACTGACACCCCTGGGGCAGAGTGCACAGCAGTCCTCACAGGCAGCAGTGTGAGTGGTGGCCTGCAACCTTCACTCATTCCACATTGCCTTCAGAACACAGTCAAAATCCCATAGCCTGCCATTCTCACTTTGGACCACTACTAACCAAAACTTCCTCTATTCCCTCCATTCCAGCCAAAATGGTTAACTCAGGGTTCTGGGACACCCCTTCTCATCAGCACCTCTGCTTTCTCTGCTTGGAGTACCTGTCCAGAGTTCCCTAACCACACATGCCCCAATCTTGACCGTTCTCGGGGATCAGACACACAGACGCCTTCTTCCAGGAATCTTTCTCTGACTCTCCAATCGGAGAGGCACTCCCTATCTCTGGACCTTACAAGAGCAACCTTGCATCATGGTCAGTCACAGCCACATCAGCTCCATGGACACGGAATGCTGAATGAGGACATCTTCCCTGTTTACTCCTGAGGGCTGCATGCAGAGGCCTGGGGTCACTGGGAGGCACCAGGCAGGCTGGAAAGCAAATGAGAGCCTTTCAGGGCTTCAGGAGGGCTCCAGCAGCCAGCCTGGGGACTGGGGACAGGGAACTATGAGGCCACCAGTTCTGACTGATTGGCTCAGGTCCTCTGTTAGCCTCAGGACACCCACTGCACAGGACCTCTCTCTGTCTGGCAGCTTCCATCCCTACAACCCGCTGTTGGGCCTTCAAAGTCCTCAATAAAAGCTCAGCTAAATATGGGTGTGCTCTGGAATGCCTAGATGTAGGCAGGAGCACATCCTCCCATCTCCTCTGTTGATTCCCTCAGCAAGCTTGCTCTGCCTGGCCCTCCGCCTTGGCTCTAGAGTCAGACTGCTAGAGACAGGAAGAAATGGGGGACCAAAATGGAATAGGCTGGTGGGAGACTTTGGAGAGTACCTCAGGATGGCGGACTGGACAGAGCAGTCTCCCTGACCAGACCTTCCAGATGGGATTGCCAAGATCCCTGGAGGCAGGAAGGAAACGTGTGCCCAGGCAGCAGGAATGGGAGCAAGGCTCTGGTCCAGTCCAGCCACAGGGGCATCAGGGGAGTCCTTAAGGATAGGCCTCAGCATCTGCCTTTATTTGCTAAGAGCAGTTGGTCTCATGTTCTCAGCCAGTGGTTTCTGCAGTCAGGGACCAGAGTGAGACATAGACAAGAGTGTGGCAAGGATGTGAGCTTGCCAGCCTGGCCCTTCCTCTTTCCTAAATGCCCAGGACTAGGACATGGCCGCAGGTGGGTGGAGGCCAGAAGCAAGACCCAGGTGGAGGTCTTCCCTACCTTCCAGCCACCTGAGCAAGACTCCATCAGGTACCTCCTCCACTTCCTCTCCCCTGAACCATGACCCTGGGCTACTGAGGACCCCCAGCAGCTCCTGTGACCTACTCCTTAGCACAGGCGTGCCTGCTTGAGCCCCTTCTCTGACCACATGGAGCAGGGCTGAGCATGAGCAGCGCCTTCCTGGGAGAGGAGCTTGAGGCCTGCTTTC